GATTCTAAACCAAAGTTATGATGATTTGATCAATCAACCCAAATCTTAATAATTAACAACAACATACACACTACTTTTTAGCATATACTTATTTTAAGCATATACTTAAATATATCATGGGTTTTTGACTCCTTTCATTGGGTGTGCATGAGTTATAACATGCTCTTTGAATGCCTTGAAGATCCAACAAGCAAATAGTAATTGAAGAGAATCTTCTTCGGTCTAAAAGGAAGGAACATATGAATATATAATTCACACATTCATTTTTCATAACGAACTAAAAGTATAGTAGTTGAAATAAAATGTAAACTAACATACTTTATAAAAATAATATTGAAACACAATTAAATAAACAATTGGGAATCAAATTGAACCTCCCTCTTATATTAAGTAAATCTCATTAATATATTATCAATTCCACTATCTAAAACACACTTGGTAAGCATGACTAAATTCTTATTTATGCCTTTAAAATAAAAGGAGGGAATCATATATCATAATAAATTACATTATTATGTGTGCCTTACTGAAAAAAACCTAGGCACAACCCCAAAAGAGTTACATATTTACAATCTCCATGCAAGTATACATATTCCCCAAGATTTACTAAACAAATGAAAACCTCAAAAAAAAGGCCATTTCTTTATTTTATTTAATATTTGATATAAAATCAAAAATAAAATAAAATTGTGTTAGATACATTAATTTTTTGGGTGCAATTGTTAGAGATATGAGATACAATCAACATCGAAAAAATACTACATTTATATATTTTTCATCATAACCATGTCATACAAATTCCGATATTGATTATATCTCATATCAGTAACAGATTAAGAGACAGAAAGACGGCCGTGATGGCGATGATGATGATAATTATGATGATTAAGGAAAAAAAACCTGGAGGGTTTAGGTTGAAAACTCCTTTTTCTTTGAAGATGATGACTTGATGGTTTAATAATCTGAAGAAAGAAGGCTTTCAAAGAATTAGCCTTTGCCATTACTGCTAATTCCCAATAATTGTTATTCGAAATCCTTTTATTCTTGGAATGGCAAAGGGAATGGGAATTGCGATGTAAGTGGCAGCGGAATGAACCAGGGTGAGTGGTAGGAGAACAAAGACAACTGTATTGAATATTGGAGATGTATTTCATGCCCCTCATCAAAGGATCGAGATGTTTGTTGTGGGTATAATTGCAAAATTGATCTTCATCACTTCATTCACACCATTACTATATGATTTTCTAGGGGACAAAAGCAAAGCACAAATTATTCTTTTACTTAAATCGTCCTTATGTACAAGATAATCAATATTCGAGGCTTTGAGCAAAGCTAAATTGAACTATTTTTTAAAATTAAATTAGATTAAAAAGAATGAAGTTGGTAGTTGGTACACCATATAATAACCACATATTAAAATTTTAAGGTCTTGTTTAGTTGACAAACAAATTCATGAAAAGTTTGATTTTCTAGGAAATGAATATATGCATATTTGTTTGGTTGACAATAATGTAGGAATTGGTACTTCATAGGAAGTTCTACTTCCCACAAAATGGAGGAATTAACTTACCTATTTCCCTCTAGGTAAGTGGAACTTTCCATGGGAAGTAGAAATTCCTACATTCAACCAAACAATTTTTGGGAATTCCTAGGAATTACAATTTCATAGGAATTGAGATTTCATGGGAATTTCTACTTCCTACATCCAACCAAACAAGGCCTAAAACATTCTTCTTTGTTCATTAACTGTATTTTTTTGAAAGTGAAAAGAACATAAACATGCTAAGGAGTATACATAATCTCATTAAGACACAAATAATATGTAAATGTAGAAAAAAGTTATGAAAATAATATACTTATACAACTTGAAATGCTTTAACATATTCCAAAAAATCCACGAATATATGAAATACTTCCAACTTTATTTATTGTTGTTGGATCGATGATATTTACAATAAACTACTACATGATACAATTCATTTTTTAGTGTTTAGAGAGTCACAACGGGCGAGTGATGAGAATCGATTCCAACATCACCTGGAAACGGGAGGGAAACTTTAACCACTTGAGCTATCCCTCACTCTCACATGATACAATTCATAATTGCCATATTCTAATTGTACATCTTCTTATCTTGAAATGGCTATATATTAAAGTGCCATCATCTTCTAGCAAGAGCAAGACTACATTATTACTAATTACAATAATTACATTTCCATGAACACCAAGAGGTGAGGAAAATAATATATGCTATATATACTACTCTAGCTTAGAATTTCGAAGTATTAGCTTATATATTCGTATATATATTTAATTTCCGCCTCTTTTCACACACTTGGGCATTTTTTTAGCAATACGTACATATTATAGACAAATTAGGACGCCTATGTCTTAAGTGTATGATAAAATATAAGAAAAAAGATCAGATGTTTAATTAATATTAGCTGAACTTCAATTCCTTAACTTGCATGGCAATTCATGAGAAAAAACCTAGTTGGCTTGGGTTCAAAGTTCCTCCTCCTTCGACGATCATGCCTCGAGGGGTTAAGAATAACTTGAAGGAGAATCACATTTTTCGACGAATAATTATTTCCTTTTGTTAAAATTCCGATTATATGACTTACACTTCGAGTTATAATCCTCGTAGAATTTGTAAAGTTGGAAATGGAAGCGACATTGACATTATTATTGGCAATGGCAATGGTTTTGGACTTGGAATTAGAATTACAATTAAAATTTCGGTGCAAATGGCATCGAAATGAACCAGGGTGCTTGGTTGGAGAGCATGAGCATCCGGTTTTGGATGCCATGCTAGAAATTTTGGAACGATAAATAAATTTACTTGGTGATAGATTATTTAGATTATTTTTGGGATGGTATTATAATGTGTGATAAATAACCTATGTTTGCGGGTTGTACCGCAATTTTATGAATATTATGATTATCGTATGGTATCTCACGTAAGTTGTAATTATCTGGCTAGTTTACTACAAAGTCTTAGAAAAATCTTAGTTCAAAAAAAAAAAGTACTAGAAATATCTTCAAGGAAGGCCTAAAATGCATTCTATAAACTAAAAGTCTAACAAATATGAGTAATTGAGTACGTAGTTATACGACTTTAGATCATATTAAGGCATTTCATTGTACAAGCTTGTATCTATATTATCTATACTTGTTCCCATTCATTAGAGGTTAGAAGTTATTTTGCTGCCATGAATAGCCTTTAATAGGTTTATAAAGTCTCGAGAACGTGCTTAATTCAAATATGTGTTTAGTTCAAATAGTGGCAGATTGACAATTTAAAGGCTAAGTAGATGATTCCAACTATGTAAATGGCCTCTCGGGATTTCGTGAGGTCTATGGAATCACCTCACTCTCATTCCTTTGTATATAGTTCAGAAATAGTCGAAATTATCCAATACAGAAGGCTATAATCCACGGCTATGTATGCTAGCTATTACCACTATTGAGATATAATCATAACTTTGTAGTACTCCTTATTAATTAAAAGAGGTCGATATGACAACTTGAATGTCTCAACTCTCAACTAGTTAGGCTTGTAAAGAGGCAGACAAAAACAAGGATATTTATTTTGTCATACAATACGAAGTATATATATACTTCCTCCGTTCTTTTTTTATCGCATCACTTACTATTTTAGGAAGTTTACTTATTATTGCATCATTTTCTTTTTAGGATAAAAAATATCTATGTTCACACTGCAAATACCCAACATACCCTTACTTTTTCACACTTACTTTTTATTTTATCTTACATTATATGGACAATTTTGTATTTTTACGTTTCTCTCTCTTACTTTTTCCCACTACCAAATTTTGCCTCCAAAACCCCTATGATGCAATAAAAAAAAACGGAGGAAGTATATATTAGTCCTATTCTAGTCCACCTTTTTAACTTATTCTCCAATCACTTGTTGATCCGGCCATCCGTCAACAAAGCTAAATTGTATATATATTAACTACTTCGTATTTAAATACACCATTGTATGATTTGAATGACTGATTGAGTAGCTCTAACTTTATCATCAACGCTACAATACATTATTAAAGACTCTCAATAATATAACAAGTCACCCTAGAACCAATAAGTTACACCGAATCAGTGTCGTGGGAACGATATCATGAAGTGTTTTCCATACATTTATTAATGCTTTAAATGTAGCCAATTTGGGCAAGTAATCAAACTTGACGGAGTTTTAAAACATCTAGAGATGTCGGCTTTGGGCGCCTTTTGTCTGTGGCTGTGACTTACATCAGTTATTAGTTCTTATACAAATTCTAAAGTTAAGAAGTTTCGTTCTTATATACTATTATTAAATGGACGTTTCAGTGTAGTGAATAGGTATATATAAGTCGGCAAAGCAAACCAATTCTAGGAACTACACTATGCCACTTTGATGATGACATATTACCAAATAATTCAACCACAAATTAAAGTGGCTGTTTTGCTACCCTGATATCTGAATACAATTTTGAACTCTATTCGATTTGTCGCGTATTTAAGTAAGCTGCGTACCAATTTTAATATACTTAAGGTCTAGTCAGGGTCCTCATGATTTTATTAATTGAAATATTTTAATAACATTTCATTTTCTCGTGTTATCTTTCATCTTTTGTTTTACTATAAGTATAGGTATTGTATTCATTTTCCTATTATGGGCCCAAAATGTGGTTCACTATGTCCCTATCTTTCTTACGTTCTGTACTATTTAGCACATCAGTAACTGGTCTTTTCAGGCATGTGAATGGTTGAGTACTTTTCTTAAGCAAGAGTTCATTTTAAGCTTTTCCACCAAATGCATCATAACAAACTCAGTATAGTAGTATTCCAAGTAATTGACATTTTGCATTACATTTTGAATTAATAATGTAACAAAATGGAGCCGATGTATGACCATGACCAATTCCGTGACTGCATAATTGAAGAAATAGAAATAGGCCAACCAGGTACAATGAGATTATACAGGCACAAGCACAACCTTTAACTGAAGGCAGGTAAAACCATGTATGGATTCAAAAAGTGTTTACACGAAGAAAAACGACATTTAAAGAATTATAATGAACACTAAAAACACAACAGATGGACGATTAGCAGCTAATTCTCCCTAGTACAATTCCGTAGTATCAATCTGTCTCAATACAAAGCCTCGTACTGTCATTACAGCAACAAACTGCAATACCAGGAAATGATGCGACATTTGTATCTACTTCTAACATATACTCACATAAATGCCCATCTAGGTCTGAAAATACGAATGACAATAATGTACAAAGAACTCTCGCACACTACATCTGTATACACAAAAGAATGAACATCCAACTCGAATATATCCTGCAGTTCTGCCTCCCCTAGAGCATATTAGAAGGGTTTTTTAGTGACCAGCCATGAATTGCTTGGTATAGACACGATGCCTTCGCTCCCTGGCATAGATAACCCAGAAGATCAAAGAAAACATTACAGCAGCAGATACCAACACCAGACCAATATAAATCCATTGGGTATATTTCCTCAATCCGGGGCAGTGGTTGGCACTGAAGTAGCTAAAAGTGCTGCGCACAAAAGTACAGTCCTGAAGGTTAACCAAGAATGGTGTGTAATGATTCAAAGCATAGCCCACATTTTTTGCTGAATTCATCTGGCTGTATATTGTAGGTGTTAACCGTCCTGTTGTGGTGCAAATCTCGTTGCCACTAACTTTTTTAATCTCGCAGACATAGTTCTTCCACACCTACATGATAGAAAAAAACCTCCTCAGATCATAACACAAGATAATTTTATGTTTTGAAGATCAAATAAATATATTAAAGACAGCTCATGATGCAAAGTCCTGTGCACTCACACGGCCTATTTCACCTGCAGGCTTTTGGTTTTTTTTTTTTTTTTTTTTTTTTTTTTTGAAAAAATAGTTCTCTGCATATTATTCCTATATTTACAAAAAAAGATGCTCCCTTTGCTCCAACAAAGGTGGCATTCGAAATTTATTATTTTATCTAGAACTAAACTGAAGTTTCATATTAGATGATTAGAGTGAAGACTACATCCATAATTAGATGCATCTAATTACTGGGGTCTTTTGTGGGAGATTTTGGAAGGATAGAAAAAAGGTGCATTTAAGTATCTTACCTGGGATGCATTGTTGAAGTTAACTTCACCTGATGCACATGTGCGATTAGACAGATTTGAGTTATATGGGTTGCAAAGATTAGGCACCGAAGGACCTGATTGGTTGAAGTACAATGGTGGAGGAGTATTGGGCGGTACATTAGTGTTAGCAATATTGCCAATCACCAAGTTGACCAAGCCAACTAGTTGACTAGTAACTTCTTTGGATCGTAACAAAGTTTCTTGTGCAGTTGCGTTATCCACACAAGGCAAGATGTCATCCAAGGCTGTGTGCGATGTTGGGTTTTGGACCCACTGATCCATGGAAATACAAGTATCTGCAACCACACTGGTAAAACCACAATATAGTCAGACTTCATATCTACACATTAAAACTTGCATTTTATACCTTTTATACACTAATGTAAATAACCAAAAATGTACACATAAAGAGTAACCACTTCAGAGATTTATCTCGTCCAAACTGTGTACCTAAATTTTTGTTCTCGACCCAAAAAATAATATCTTCATGCAACTCCCCTCCCAGCATATAAAAATGCAAGAGTTAAGCGATACTGATTTATGTTTGGAAAAAGAACTTGCTTCTGGGCCCTTTTTGCCACTCTTTTCCCATTCAAAAGTTATAAACCAGCCATCATACCATAGCAAAGTTAAAATATTTTCTATTCTCTGATTTATTTCTAGAGGAAGGGGGTATTAGAATATAAGCACCTTCTTTTCTATAATTTTATTCACGAGAGCATTTATAAAATCTCATGTATTCCGGCATGACATAGAATCTGACTACTTAATACCTCTAATAAACATTGAAGCAGACTTCAAAAGAATCATCTGATAAAAATGCATAGCAAATTACCAAGCCACTATCTCCTTAAACAAATGAAAATGATTGGTCAGGAATATATACATCTTGGAGTCTGTTGAAGGAGTCTGTTGAAAATGTCCATGAAGACTAAATCTTCAAGGAATTTTTCATGAAAACAGCTATCGAAGCCAAATTTAAGCCACAAACATACCCACTTTAAGTCAAGACAACAACAGCAGCAGGAGAATAGAACACATCTAACATCTATCTAGGTGATCTCAGCTTCGCAAATACAATGCAGTAAGTGCAAAGCACAAGTTCTGATGAAATCATTCAAGATAGCACAATGCATTCATAAGAAACATAGAAATTTAAAACTGGATATTGAACAAAACAATAATGCAAGCATTTGACAAACAGCACAGTCCAGAACGCATTACAAACACACTGAAGCTGACACTCAATTTCATTCAACACATCAGTCACTAAATAAGAGTCCTAAATTATTAGTTTTGTGCCAACGAGTGGATAACACAAAGTCGCAATTCATCCCAATAAAACATGAGAAACTTTACAGTCAAACTTACTTGTGGAGGACAAGAAAAACTCCGCATAAGATAAATGTTATCGTCACCAGAAGCCAACCTACAATGACTAGTCTGCAATCATATACAAGACACAAAGCAAGTGAGAAAGAAACTAATTAGAACAACAGACACCAATGCCAAAATGAAGAAAAAAAAAATACAGCAGAAAAAGAAGAAGAAGAAGCATACGTGTACACGAGACATTGCACTCCAAAGATTGACAGCACTGCAACCAGAAAACATAGTTCATAATTAAATTATAAAAGCCAAGAGTGTCAGGCAAATCAAAGTCCAAAATAGACAACAGTGTAACTCACAGAATCCAACAAATGCCAGTAAAAGCATTACTGCTGCAAGAATAATCAGGGCTAATCTCCTACAGTGAGTGTAACAGCCAGAGTCAATAACGTACAAAACACCAAAAATCAAAATCAGTATCAGAGACAATGCAAGAGCCTTACACAAAATCTAAGACCCGGCGAATTTTTCTAGAGTTTTCATTGGTTCGCAATTTAAGAGTTTTGGCAGCAGAAATCATCTTCGTCTGAATATCAATAATCTTGTTCTGGAGAGTTTCTGGTAGCCTCATCTGCCCCACACCAATGTTTTTTGCCTCGTCGAGATAATGTGAGACATTGTTAAGGTTTTCATAAGTATAATTCGCTTGATCTACAACATAACGCAGTGTCGTTGCAGTACTTTTATGGAACTTTTGCTGGCCAGTATAGAGAAATATACAACCAATACTGCGGCAGTAACAAAACATACAATTCATGTCATGTATAATAGACTGGAAATGGGAATTATACTAGATCTACATATCTAATCAACACTGGCCCGTAGCAACACTGAATGCAGGAGCTGAATAAATCAAGAAGAGCTTCAACTTTAGATTTGTTGATTAGTTTTATGAAGGAAGAAAGACAAGGGCAAACATAACATTTTTTTTTTATTCTACTTGGCAACGAGGGGAAAAAGGCACTTCACATTTCATAGCACATGTGACCGTTGTAGGTGTTTGGCCATCAGAAATAGTGGCCGTTTTGAAAAATAGTGGCAAGAGTAAAATCCGCAGATACTCAAAACTTCTATCTCAAAAAACATACAAAAATTGAGATTCTACCAACAATCACAAACTTTATAATTTTAAGTTCAGTCGCATTCATAGCAAAGCTCTAGAATTAAAAGAGCAACCAAAACTATCTCTGCTTTTATTTGTTTGATAAAAAAATTCCATGGTTAACAATCATCGCAGCCTAACTAGCTAAAACAAACAACTTTTGAGACAATAAACACTTTCAATTGTATCAACATGTTTTGTCAGAACAAGGATTTCTAACCTTTGTACAGAGTACATTACAACTATGTTATATTTTTCTCAATTAGAGTCGATACTTAGAGACAAGAAAATAAAGAAAAGGGTAACTTGGAATACTTACATAGCAGCAATGGTGAAAAGTACCAGGCAAATGAGCGAAAGTGCATAACAGACTCGAGAATACCCATAAGGAGCTTTTCGACAACAGCAGAAGTATAGGCACGTGCATATCAAACTTAACCCAAAAATCAAAAACCACACTAGAGCAACAACGAAGAATGGGACTGCTGTGAAAGCCACAGACTGCATTAAGTAACATGAAAATGTCAGCAGTGAAACGACATAGAGAACCCATCAAATTTGCAATTAAAAATAGCACTCAACAAGTAGAAAAAACTGGACATCAATGAATACAAGAATCATAACAAAATTAAGGCCACACAAAACATAAGGATACAATACATTGTGCAAGAAACTAGAAATCAAGACATATTGAAGCAAAATTGTAATATGAAATCAAGCAGCAAACCACATTACACTTAATCCTGAAATTTCAATAAGGAAACCATAAACCAAACTTCACAATGAAGCTGAAATCCATAATCCAAATCTTTTGACGAATTAGTAAACTACTATTTAGCACAATTCACTCCACCAACAAGCCAATATTCAAATTCAAGTACCACACAAGAAAACGTGCAGGAAACAGATATATCAACTTCACAATTTCTATTAAAAAAATTGAATCTATACCCATAATTTTAAACTGCAAATAATCAAAATTAGTCCAAAAAAATTGGTAAATTTCTTAAAGACTCAACAAACAACCTAGACAAATTCAAGACTACAGATAATTATACCCCATCGTGAAATTCACAGCTAACATAACCTAAATTACAATCATGCAATACCAATATTTCATAAAATTAACAAAAATTCCAACTTTATAATCCAAAAATACACCAAAATAATATTTAAACCCAGTGACCCAGAAAATAATCATTCAAGAAAAATGAAATGGGCAGGAAAAAAACAAAAAAATAATACTCGTATATAAAAAATAAAAAGAAAGAAATACTAACAGCCCAGTAATGTTTATCGGTGATATTCCAACCACCAGTGTAACGATGAAAATGATTAAGTGGGTCCCTTCTGTAAGTGTTGTGAGCAGCCAATTTCAATGAAGAATTGCCTTCTGTTGTATTTTCAGCAACGGACCTCCTATTATTAATTACCCCTGTATATATTAAATTAAATTAACTTCAATTAAATACCCAAAGCATAAAAGAGATTGAAAATTGCATGATATAAACTAAAAATAGAAGTGAAAATTTTCCAAATTTCAAGTTTTAAAGAGAGAATAGTGAAAGAAAGAGTGAAAGTGTGCAAACCTTGAAAGGAAGAAGAAGAAGAACCCAAATCTTGAAATGCATTGGAAAATGTGAAGAAAAAGAATAAAAGTGTGAAGAATATGAGAATTGATCTGCTTACATATGACATTATTTAGGAAGCTTTGATTTTATTTTATTTTTTTTTTTTTTTTTTTGGTTTGTTTTCTTAGAGAGAGAAAGAGAGAAACAGGGGAGGAGAGAGAAAGAGACAAACAAGAACAAGAAATGAGAAAATGGCAATGTATGTGCTATGTTGTGGGTAGTTAATTGGTGTTTTATGATTTCAATTTTTTTTGTTTTGTTTTTTTGGTGCTTTTTGAAAAGACGAGAAATGGGTATTTGCATAGTATATCTGTCTTGATTTAATTTTCTTATTAACACGCGTTTCCCACTAGTTTTATGGGAGGTTTTTTTTAAAAAAAAAATTATTTTGGATGCAATCACTTGAAGAAAGAGTATAAAATAAAATCATGATGATGGAAAAAAAACATGATGATATTAAGTTAAATAATTTTGAGAAAAGAGCTAAGTTGATTCTTTAATAAAGTATACTAATATACAATGTTAATATATATATCTTCAAAGCTTTAATAATTGGTAGATTTGTTAAATCTGTAGGAAAGCTAATTGAGCATCTGCTTAAATATATACATTTGTTATAGGGCATCTTGTTGTTGCTAATATTTCTCATATCTATATAGTTTGTTATAGTTCTTTCAATTAATTTCTCATTTTAACATCCGATGTATTTGAATTGATTCTTCATAGTAAGCTAACATAATTGTGTGTTTTATTTACTTATTTTATTCTCACTGTTATCTAAATTTAAATTAACTTATTTGAATCTACTTGAATCTACTATACTCAAATTTATATGTACTTATATGAAATTATTAGAGCTTAATTTTTGTTATAAATTGAATGTAGGCATTCTTTTTTTTGGGCATAACTTACTTTTTTTTCTGAACTATCTTGTAAAAGAATTATTTGTCTTATAAAAGAATTATTTTTCCTAAAATGATGAGTATAGCTAAGGAGAATATAAGTATATAACATCATAACACGGCCTTGTTGTAACTTTTGTAGACTTTTAATAACAAACTACTACATTCATAGTATAAAATATTGTGTGTAGATTATAAGCTCTCTTTTTTTTTTTTTTTTTTTTTTGACTAGATATGTTTATTATAAGTTAATAACAAAAATTATTCAATGAAATACCACTTTGGTGGTATAACATCCCCATCATACTAATACTTCGTTTATCAGAACAATATTTGCATACACGATGAATTACAAAAAAATTGCTTCTTCAAAGTAACAAAATTATCATAAAATTGAACATTTTTGGATTCATTAGGTGAAGTTGGTACTCGTATACAAATTATTCAATAATAAGTAGTTGATGCCAATAATTAGAGAAACCTCCTTGCTGTCGAACCTCCAAAGTCAAAGAAATATAGGTAAAACCAGAAGTATTTGTAGAAATATTCTCATATTTAGAGATGTCACTTTTAATTTTATGCAAAGTAGGTACTAATAATGGTTAAGAAAGCTCCTATATTGCAATATTATTATATCCGGAAGCCAAGGTTACTTTAGAGTTGCTTTATACGGAGTATTAACTTCAATATTTATACTTGTGTAAACATTTGTACGTAAACTAGTATTTTTTGTTTAACCAAAGAGTGAGTTTATGTTCTAAGTACGCGGTATTCTATCTTTCAAGCTATATGAAACACCCTACATTTAAAATAAAAATAATGTACACTATAATTCATATCAATTAAGGTACTTACAAGTAGTGAAGATGTTTTCGAAATCTCAATCCTCATACCAGTCTAACAATTGCATAAATTTATTTGAAAGTCGGGATAACCTTGTGTATTAAATGTTTTTACTATTGGTACTTAATCAGATAGATGAAACTCTTTCACATTGATGACGTATATAACAATATTATTATCCATCTCAACTTCATAAAATTTTCTACGAACTAGGGTGGCCAATGCACGCGATGTGCGCCATAGCTAGCAATCTTCAGGAATTTTTTTTTGGGTTTGTCCTTACATCACAACTTTAGTTGTTAGTAGCGTTAATGGGGAAAATATGTAAACAAATATTTTTAAGGGTATTAATGTCCGCACACTTTTGTTAAGAGTTCAAAAGAAGAGCTAATTAACATTAGTGAGGGCAATTAAATAAATAAACATTTTATAGGGTATAGTTGTCTAAACACTATTTATAAGAGTCATCTCATAATTTTTACAAAGTAGGGATTAAATAAGTAGGTGGTATTCATGTAACGATGTAAGGGAATAAATGTTTTAACAAAATTGGAATAGAACCAAACAAGAAGCTCATCAGAGCTATCACATGGTTATGGAGAGAGATATTTTTTGTATAGAATAAGATTGCCAATTAGGCGTAATATATTATATAATTAACTTCAAACCCGGGTCTTTCTCTTAATTAATTACTGAATTATGACCGAATAAGCTACTTAGAAACGTGTTATGCTGTTTGATGGTCATTTGTTGAGCAAAGATTCTGCCACGTTTTTTTTTTCTTTTTCTTTCTCAAATTCGAATTCTGGTTCTTTATACAAGTATTTAAATAAAGCCATCAAAATTATTGTTCTTAAATGATCATTTCATGAGCTCTCCACCTTTTCCTACTGCTTTTTTTTCTTTTTTTTTGGTAGAATATCTTTCTGTCACTTTCTTTTTAATTTATTTTATTTATATAAAAAAAATAAAAAATAAAACTGAGATATTCCCACAATGTAAAGATTAAAGACTCAAAAGGCCAGAACGTGACAACATAAAACAATTATAAATTTGTAATGCAAAATGTGGTAGACCACTTTCTCATACATTCAAGCAAGTAACGGGCCTAACGGCTAGGTGGCTACTAGTACTTGTATTAGTTGTATAAAAGCTCTTCATATTGAGTGGGGCCAATTGATGCTTGGACTGTTATATGAAGTTCATTAATATTGAAATGTTTGTAATAAGAAATGTAAGTAAATTTGATGTAAATCATGTATGAATATACAAATATTTTTCAATGAGATGCAATGATGAGTTAGAGAGATGTTTCAAATATGAGATATAATAAGTGAAATATATATGCGAAGTATGTTTTATCATGTATTATATACTTGAGAAAATAAGGGTTAAGATATTTAAATCAACTAAAAAGTAATATATAAATCAAAATACAATTAAGCTAGCCTGTCAATTTAAACAAGAAACATAAAAAAGACCACCTGTAGCGTTGTTCACCCCTTGGAGAAGTGATTATTGTTCTAACTTAAGAATGATTAGTTGCAAAAAAAAAAAAAAAAAAAAAAAAAAAAAAAAAAAAAAAAAAAAAAAATCTTAAAATTCCATTAGATCGAATCAAGTTGCGATCATTATTAAATTGATTATCAGCATAATTGCATAAAGCAATGGACAAGCTCTTTATTCTATCAATATCTCGTAGTATAAGATTACATTACCAAAATAAATCTTTGATTATATCCCACTTGTCTCCCAATTTCGAACCTTATAATGCTTGTTACTCCCCACAATCATGCAATACATCAATGCCGGCATGACGGCATCACCAATTTAAGGTTAGAGGGGTTTTAAAATCATTATGTATTTATGTTAATGCAAACGTATTCGATATATAGGTATATATATATTTCTCTTCATGCATAGCTAAAAATTTATTTTGTAAAAATGACGAAGTTTAAAAAATGAAGATAATACTGTTAGAGTAGTCTTCATAATAGGTTTTGTGAATGATGGGAAATTAGTCCCTCATTAGTAGAATAGAAGTTGGTTATATAGGTTAGTCTACATAACTAAATGTTGGATAGAAGTCCCACATTGGTAGAATAAAAGAAGTTAGCTTGTTCAATTCTATTTAACTTGATGTTGGGAAGAAACTCTCACATTGGTTAAATAGAAAAGTTTAGCTTGAAGCTAGTCTATAAGTTTAATATTTGGAGCATAACAAAATTTTACCATGTGTCATGGTTTATGACCACGAACCCGATCGGGCGGGCTTTGCCTGATCGGGCGCGAGTCTAGTTAAAGTTTTGTCCGTTTATTATTTGCCCGATCGGGCGGGTTTGGCCCGATTGGGCCCCTATAAATGGTAACTTTCCTGTTAGATTGATTAAGATAATAGTGACTTTTCATTAAAAGTCAGATTATCTTAATTAATTATTTTGATAATAGTGACTTTTCGTTAAAAAGTCAGATTATCTTATTTTTTGTTTGGAAATGGTGACTCTTGGACTAAAAGGCTGTTTATTATATATTTTAATGGAAAATTGTAAACTAATAATCCCACCTTTAGTCGGTCTTCTAGAAACAATCCCACTTTTTGAAATTACAGAAATAATCCCACCTTTAATATGTATCTTCCACTAACGACCCCTTTGACCTACAACCTGTTAAACAGGTTAATTATTTTTTCTTTTTTTTTTAACCTAAATCTCTTTTGGGGCCACCAGTCCACCACCATGGTCACCCTAACCCCTAACCGCCACTGCCACCCACAAGGCCACCACAGATTATTCCAACCATGCTGTAACCACCCCTAAAACTCAACCTCCGCCCCCAACAACTTGACCCACAGCCCCGAAAAACCTCCACCCAGCCTGAAAACTCAACCCTCAGCCCTAAAAAGTAAACCCCGACAACCCCAATTACCTCTAAATTCAATTTTTAGCTTGAAATTAAACCCAGAAGCTCCTCTTTAACCAAGGCTCAATACTCTTATACTGATTATAGAAATTTCTCATATCCGCAACCACCATCTTTAATCACAAACATATGCAGCAACGACGTAGTCATCGAAGCCGATGAATCGATCTTCAATTCGTAAGACCAGCGAGGACATTACGACCATCGATGTTCATAGCACATAAACCACAAATTTCTTCGCGGCAAGTTCGGCAGAAGGTGACTAGGTGAGAGAGAAGGATCGATTTTGTTCTTGATGTTGATGAGAGCGTCGAGAACCATGAGACCATACTCCTTGAGGTTGATCTCATAGTTTTTGAGCTCGGGTTTCGAAGGAGTCGGGGTTCTAGCGGTAGATTTGGAAGGTTTTCATTGATATTGGTGGCGGCGATGGTGAGTTGAGGGCTAGGTTGGGTTGCCGGGGAAAGCAAGGGCGGCAATGGGGAGGGGAAAGCAGTGGCGGGGTGGGGCTAGTGGCGGGGCTGTGTTGGGGTTGGAGATGGGTTTTTTTTTATATATATATTATTATTAAAAATTTGAATAAACCTATTAAAATTCGACACGTGTCTTATAACCTAAGAAAACCGGTTACCAAAGCTATCCAACTGGTCAGGGATTGTTAATGGAAGATCCATGTTAAAGGTGGGATTGTTTCTGGAATTTCAACAGGTAGGATTGTTTCTGGAAGACCGACTAAAGGTGGGATTATTAGTTTACAATTTTCCTATTTTAATTGCTCCAAAATTTATAACTGACTTCACTTGATCTTCTTCTTCCTTTTCTATTCTAATTGTTCTTAAAGTGTTCTTAGGGAATTCAATTACATTGCTTTAATTGATCTCCAACTTAGGGAAAATCTTGGAAGCATATTAACCGGTAACCCATAGCAATCATAGGGGGGGTTAAAATTGCTTTAAGGACAGTGTTAATCACGTCCCTAATTCTTCATTCCCATAATTATTTTCTAACAAATACTACGACTATTGGAACTGTTTATCTTTACAAATTGAGCGATAATTTTTACAACTATTTGTGCATAATATAGATCATACTTCATTGTTAGCCGTGCTAAAGTAATTGGTGTTGCTATATTTCTTATTCATACAATATCGTACCATGTTATTAAAAATTATTTCGAAGTCTAGGCATATTTTATAACTTAATACGCAGTTTGTAAGCAAGTTTAACCGTTAAAAAATTGTTGCCGAAATATTATATCCAAGCATTCGCAAATGTTGAAGTAGGTCCAAAGTTAATTAAAAAGATATTATTTGGAAGCTATGTTGTCTTAATAAATCATCAATCTATTTCAATAATTGTCTAAGTTTATCATTAATGTCGCAATTCACATGCCACGTATAATATAAGATATAATTTATCAATTGTTTGAAGTTAACGTTTTTGGCTGAGTTTCTCTCAAGCTATAAATACGTGACACATGGTATAATATAGAATATAGTTTAATATTTTAATTTTTGGACATACTATTCATTTTTCCAAGATATTAACAAAAGGTGAAAGCCATGTTTGGGAGCCTTGAACCTAGATTGTGGCCATGTTCGATCTTATGTTGCCTTGTTCCTTTTTCAGAGATTCTCAGCTTCGCAAGTCTCGTGTTGGCTTGCCACTGGCTAAAGAAAAGATAAATTTATCCTAAACTCAATGGTTAAACTTGAGAAAACAATAAGGCCAAGGGTTGACAATGAAAACAACAAGCTTTAAAACATTAGGATAATCATATTTCTAATGAGCACTATAAAATTTTCACATGCAAGGCTTAGTATGTAGCTCTTAATCTAAACATTCCACTAGCTTCAAATTGGTCATCGGTTGAAGAAATGTTACACAACGATATACTTTGTATATTATTGCAAAGCTATGAGAACCATGTGTATATAATTCATCAATTTCAGGACCATAAAGGATATACTAAAGATTTAATAGCAGGGTCTGAGCAGCAGCTTATCTGTTCAGCAGGATTAGTAACTTAGGAACATGCTTAGATTGACGGTAATGCATCAAGGGAACAATAACTTAATACAATGAAAAGAAAAATAACCTTCATCTTTGGGCCATAAGAAACCAAATTAACCATTCAATACAAGAAGAAGAATCTCATACTCACAAGTCAGCCCAATTTGTATACTCACAAGAATTTAAAGCACCCAACTGAAATTAGCCATTTTATAAAAAGTGATTTAGGATTTCATAGTCCAAAATTTTGATACAAAACCTAAATTTCTATTTAAAAACAAAAACGTTCAAATGGGATGAAATAGAACTTGTCAATTGAAACCATCTATAACAGTCAGAAAATTATATATTTTACTTTAGTGTGTTAGGCTTAATTACTGGTGAATCGCCTTCCACGAGTATATAAGTGATGAATCCCAAGATGAAGAAGATAGTGTTATCACTGATATGATACTGAAGGCAATAAAACAGTAAACTTATCTGTTGAAGCGTGAAGCAGAAAACAGTAGTCGTGTCGTGGCGAACCACTGACCTAAAAGACCATTCCGCGCTACCTCCCGGTGCAGTAGACTAGAAGCGGTCGCCCTCCAGGATAAGCACGGCGCCGGAGTTTATGTGCACTCACAAACCCGACTGGAATTCAGAATACTTGCCCAAAAATTAAAGAACAGTGTTTAGTTATTTTTAAGAGAGAAGAAGGGGAATAATTTGTCTATGTATTTAGCTGAAATGGGACTGGGTTTATATAGGCAGTGAGGAGGAAGATGGCCAGCAACGGTCAGCAAGTAAGAAGGAGAAACGACCATATAATTAAGGCCAATGATCAGAGAAGAACTTTCTATTTAAAAAACAAAAACGTTCAAATGGGATGAAATAGAACTTGTCAATTGAAACCATCTATAACAGTCAGAAAATTATATATTTTACTTTAGTGTGTTAGGCTTAATTACTGGTGAATCGCCTTCCACGAGTATATAAGTGATGAATCCCAAGATGAAGAAGATAGTGTTATCACTGATATGATACTGAAGGCAATAAAACAGTAAACTTATCTGTTGAAGCGTGAAGCAGAAAACAGTAGTCGTGTCGTGGCGAACCACTGACCTAAAAGACCATTCCGCGCTACCTCCCGGTGCAGTAGACTAGAAGCGGTCGCCCTCCAGGATAAGCACGGCGCCGGAGTTTATGTGCACTCACAAACCCGACTGGAATTCAGAATACTTGCCCAAAAATTAAAGAACAGTGTTTAGTTATTTTTAAGAGAGAAGAAGGGGAATAATTTGTCTATGTATTTAGCTGAAATGGGACTGGGTTTATATAGGCAGTGAGGAGGAAGATGGCCAGCAACGGTCAGTAAGAAAGAAGGAGAAACGACCATATAATTAAGGCCAATGATCAGAGAAGAACTTTCTATTTAAAAAACAAAAACGTTCAAATGGGATGAAATAGAACTTGTCAATTGAAACCATCTATAACAGTCAGAAAATTATATATTTTACTTTAGTGTGTTAGGCTTAATTACTGGTGAATCGCCTTCCACGAGTATATAAGTGATGAATCCCAAGATGAAGAAGATAGTGTTATCACTGATATGATACTGAAGGCAATAAAACAGTAAA